GGATGGTGACCCAAAAGCCCTTTCCTGTGGGCTGGGAGCAGCGGGAGGGATGGTGGCCAGGAAGCCCCTTCCTCTGGACCAGGAGCAGTGGGATGGCAGCTTAGAAGCCCCTACCTCTGGGCCAGGAGCAGCAGGAGGGATGGTGGCCTGGAAGGCCCTTCCTCTGGGCCAGGAGCAGCGGGACAGAAAGTGGCCCAAAAGCCCTTTCCTCTGGGCTGGGAGCAGCGGGAGGGATGGTGACCGGGAAGCCTCTTCCTCTGGACCAGGAGCAGTGGGATGGCGGCTCAGAAGCCCCTACCTCCAGGCTGGGAGCAGCAGGACTCAGTACCTTGGTCTGGTGGTCTGGTGTCCTCTGTGTCTTTGTAGTGTGGAACCAGGTGTCTGCCTGTCTGCAGCGGGGTCATTCGGCATCTTCTGCATGACTTGGGACCTCGGTAGGCCATGGGCAGACCTGCCGGTCTGCAGCCGGGTGATTTGACATCTTCCGCATGACTCGGGATCTCGGTAGGGCATGCACAGACCTGCCTGTCTGCAGCGGGCTGATTCAGCATGTTCCGTGCGACTGGGGACCTCGGTAGGGCGTGGGCAGACCTGCAGTTCTGCAGTAGTGTCCAAGTCAGAACTGCAATCTTAAGTGTAACACTGCCAATTCTGCAGTAGGATTAGTGCCTGGTACAGGGCTGATCTTGTCCTCTGGATGTGGAGGCTTGAGCCAGTCCTACCTAACTTATCTTCCAACAAGTTTAGTGTTTCTGTCTTAATATTTAGATCTTTAATCCACTTCGATCTTAGTTTAGTACATGGTGATAAGTATGGGTCTAGTTTTAATCTCTGGCAGGTTGAAATCCAGTTTTTCCACCACCATTTATTAAATAGGCTATCTTTTCTCCAATGAGGGTGGTTGGCTCCTTTGTCAAAGATGAGGTGGCTGAGTATATCTGAAGTTCTTTCTTCTTCTAATCTATTCCATGGATCCTCAGGTCTGTTTCTTGGCCAGTACCATGCTGTTCTTATCACAGTAGCTTTGTAGTATAGCTTCAAGTTGGGTATTGTGATACCCCCAGCCATGTCTCTGTTGCCTAGAATTGCTTTTGCTATTCTAGGTCTCTTCCCAACCAGTTATTTTTGAATTAAAGTCTTTAACACTATTAGGAATCAAAATGCTAAATCATATGCACTAAAGTTGATGATAAAAATATTTCTGCTTTCATTTACTATTGCCTCAAGAAAACCTGAATATTGGGGCTGGGGTTTTAGGTCAGTGGTTCCACCACCTGCCTTGCAAGCATAAGGTCCTGAGTTTGATCCCTGGTACCAAAAAAAAAAAAGAAAACCTGAACATAAACTAGCTGTCAAGTTGAATTTCAACCACAGAAGGAATATGTTCCTGACAAACACTGTGTTATAAACCTAAAGTAGATAAATTTGGGAGGCAAGTGTGAAAGAACAAAATGTAACCAGTTTTATTCTTTTTCTCAGGGACCAAAAGGAAGAAGCTCAGATCCATACAACCCCAGAGTCTAAGGAACCTCAGGGTTCAATAATGAGGTGGCACAACAGAATAAAGTCCAGTATTAAAGATATTTCCAAAGTACAAACTTTCCCTAGGAACCACTTCCTAGGAGTCTATCTGGCATTAACACCTCACTGTAGTTTAATTATATGACTTGGAAAGGACAAATATCATTTAGAACAATGGTTCCTAAAACGCCCAACAAAAATACCTGAATTGTGGTGAAAAACACAAATTTACATTTCTCACATCCAATTCACAGAATCTGCCAGGATCAGGCCATCATCCCTCCTCTCAAGTAACCATGGCACAAGCAAACCCCAGATGACTACACATACAAGAATACATACCAACTTACAGCTACAGATAAAAGACATTTATTTCACAGAAAAATAAACTGAAACACAAGGACACGAAGCAAAGAGATATGAAAACATTACAGCCAGCATTGTAAATTTTCTGAAGAATATTTCAGCATAAAAGCTAGAGATATACCTTTAAAATTTATACTGTAAGTCTAGGTTTATAGACATTAAAATGACATTAATAGAAACATATGTATCACATCCTAAGCAAGTACTTACCCAAAATTTCATCAAAGATCTTGTATAAACCTGGAACAAAAGTAACCTCTCTGCAATTCATTCCTACATCTTCATCATATACCCACATCAACTGTATTGAGAGAAAAATTCAAAAAGACTTTTTACTCATAAATGCTTCAATTTTACTCTGTGCAGTTAGACTTCCAAAGTAGAATATATACAACTTCAGCTATAATGAATTTTACCATTCATATTGGATTTAAATAATTTCAGAAATGAGAAGTTGTTCATTTTGTATCTAGCCCATATTCTTATTCATATACAAAGCTAGCTTTAACACAAGGCACAGCAAGGGCTAGGGACGTGGCTCAGTGGTAGAGTTCATGCATAGCATACAGGAGGCTCTGGGTTTAATCCTCAACACCAAAAAATAACAACAATGAAACAGAAAAACCTATGGTTTCAGTTTCTCTGCCAGTTCCAAAAAAAGTAGAGATTGGTGATCCAAACTAACCATTCCTACAAAAGATGAGGACACAAAATCAAGTTCCTAAGATTTCCTTATCTTTTTTCAATAAAGCACACCAAAAGTCATTGGAAACTGCCTAGATAAAATAGAAAAATATAAAAATGTCTTTTGTTTACACTTTTACTTCATGCTTTATATTTTCCTTTAATATAAGTAACAAAGTAAAATAATATAAATAAAGTATGACTTTGGACTCAGAAACCTAACTTCAAATCTCAGAGGAGCTTGCTAGTTGAGAGATCTGGTAAGTTAAATAAACTGAAGCTTCCCCTTTCTCAGCAAAAGACAAAAAACAAACAAACAAAAAAGAGATAACAGTATTTGCTTCCCAAAATTATTAAGAGTCAAACTATATATATATATATATATATATATATATATACACACACACACATACACATACATACATACATATATATACATACATATAGATATGATAAATCAATAGTAAGCATCAATTATGAGTGAATATTATAAACCTTAGGAGGTACTACCATTAAAGTGACCCACAGCAGGAGCCCTAGAAATGTCCAGATGGTACCATTTTACTCCAGACTTCTTTCTTCTGATAGTTTTTACCTTCAGAATAAAATGAAGACATTTCTACTTCTCCCAGATTTCTCTCCCTTCTTTACTCTTGATCCCAGAGACATGAAACTATGAACTTGCAAAGCATATTATCACAAAAATTTTATCAATATTTTTAAGAGTAAATATGAACACACATCTCCTAATTTCAATAATTACCTGTGTTAGGGGCTCCACTGATCCAATATATGTATCAGGACGAAGCAGAATGTGTTCAAGTTGTGTCTTCTTCTGATACACTCTCTCAACAGACAACTTCTTTGAAGAATCATTTTTGTTTGCAGCTTCTAACTCTTCTTTTTTTGCAGCATTGTTCTGATCAAAAAGAGTCTAAAATTAACCAAAAAATTCAATTTAAATAACCTACCATGGGATAAACTAAACTGTGTATGGACACATGAGTTCTTTTTATGGGAGAAAAAGTATCTTTAGACTCACTGATATTTAAGTCCTAAAGAACAAGGGTCTGTCTGACAGTCTAGATCTTTTTATAATATGAAGCTGTAATTCTAAGTCCAAAATGTGAATAGTTATCAGAATCACTAGAACAGCTTTCATGTATTCAATCCAGAATACAAGTAGTTCCCAATGTTGTATTAATATATCAAGTTAATTTTGTGTTCCTCAACACTTCCCAATGAATGCATGTTCTGATCAGGCTTTAGAATCTCAATGACTCAATGCAGGGTCCCAAAAGCTTCCAGATGGTAGTTTCCCTGTCATTAACATTCCCACTGGCTTGACCCACTGGTGATATATGCACGACTGTCCCATTGAGTCCCACGTGATGGGACTTTCCCATGATGCCGGATGGACAGTCAGTCATACATGTATCACCCAAGCTGTTCAGAGCCACCCAGCAGCAAGACACATGAATTACAGTTCCATCTGAATGTGTTAAGCTACTGAAGACAGTAAGGATATGCAAAAATAACTTACACAAAATGTTAACCTGTGAGTTAACTACCACTGAAATCTTCAAATTCCACACATTTGTGGGTTATGCCAATATCAGTTCTGAAGGCATCATACAACCGTATTTTCTCTGCCAGTTCCAAGGAACTGAAGGTTGGTGATCCCAAAGCTAACCATTCCTACAGCATATGAGGACCCCAGATCAAATTCCCAAGTCTAAATATTTCCTTGTCTTTTTTTTTTTTTGGTACTGGTGATCAAACTCAGGACCTTGTGCTTGCAAGGCAGGTGCCGGAACCATTGAGCTAAATCCCCGGCTCCTCCTTGTCTTTTTTTTTTTTTTTTTTGGTACTGGGGATTGAACTCAGGTTCTTGCGCTTGCGCAGCAGGCGGTGAAACCACTGAGCTAAATCCCCGGCCCCTCTCCTTGTCTTTTTAATAGCATCAGAGAACATTCTCCTTTTGGAATTCCCTAATGCTGATAAATATGAGATCCCACTGAAAAGATGGGTATTATGATGGCCCATTTTTCGGAGTCAACAAATAACTAAGTAGACAAACAGAATAGAGATCTTCCCTAGGCATTCAAACTTTAACAGAAATAAAAGACAAACAGTAAAAAATTTTGTGCATCTAAATAAGAAGTACACAACTAAAATTCAGATCCTAAACATATCAACTTTAAAGTTTTTCGGGAATGTCATTACATGTTTAAAAATCAAAATGTATAACCTTCAAATATTCTAAGCCAAAGAATAGTAACATGCAAATCCTAAGGAAATTCAAACATTAATTATAATTTCCCAATGCCAGAAATTTTGAATAAAAGTAGAGACTTAATGATGTTTCAAAATAAAGAGTATTGCAAATAGTTTTACTAGGTGTTACATTTCCTATTTATTCTTTCATTTATATGTTTACCAATTAATATTGTTGAGTCAATTAAAAATAGCTTTGAACAAAAGACAGTACTTGTTTAATAAGGTTTTCATATTTTATTTTTGCCAAGAGTTAGATAACGAACTAGTTAGCTAGAGGTATAAATTCTATTTGTAACACACATAATACCAAACAGTCTCCAAATTTTTAATCATTTCTTGCTTTTAATTAAATAGCTGATTAATTTGTAGAAACAAATTTAACATAATAGATATATAACTAAAAGCTTTCTTACCCAGGCATCTCTTTCAAAACAAATTCCATTTCAATTCAAAGCAAATATTTTCAGTACTAACCAGAGACATATGTCTACCTAATTTGGACTCCTGCTTTTGGCATGGGGATGGAAACAGAATAAAGCCCTCATTCGTTTTGCAACAATTTGCCACTTTTCCCACTTCCTCCACACAAAGAATTGCCACTTTTTCCTCCCTACATGTGTTCCTAAATGCCTGTATGAGAAAAGAAATTTTCTGGTGGGCTTGAACCTACCAGATCAATATCAAACTCAAAAAAGTCATTCCTAAGAGGATGTATCAAAAATAGAAACTATGTGCATAATGTCAGCAAGATGGCCAAATAGAAAACCCGGACTTTTCTTATCCAATTAAAGAAAAAAAATTGTACTATATCTGAATTAAATATTGTGAGAGATCTAGTAACCATTTATTTAAGAGGTCCTACACCTCTGATAAACACAAAATCACATTAAAGAAGGAGGTAGCTCCAGTGAAAGCAGAAGTACTACCCAAAAGACTAGTTACTTTCTTGCCCAAATGTAGCACTGATAGGAAGAGGGTACTAGACTGGGAATCACCAAAACAAGGACAATCAATATAATTTGGTCTAGCACCCAGAATCTGCAGTACCAGATATAGACACTAGATGGAGCTCCGGTTCCATGGCTTATGACCGGGCGTGCAACAGGACAAAATATGGCAAACACCAAGCAATGCTCCCGAATAGATACCAGGCAAATCTTTTGGATTAAGAAGTTTGATGCACAAGCCCAGAGAGGACACATACCCAGACAAAGTTTGAGGTCTCTGGATTCTCTAGATAGACTAACCAGATGAAGAAAGTCTTTCCAAGATGAATGCAGAGAGCAAAACTTGGCAAGGTAGTTGAGCTTTTAAACACCAAGGTCCCGACAGAAAGTAACAAGACACAAGGAAATGACTACCTTTCCAAAGAAACAAGTTAAATCTTCAAAAAACTGACCCTGAAGATATATGAATTACCAGGCAAAGATTCCAAAATAACTGTCATAAAGATGCTCAACATGTTAAACAGATTAAAAAATCAGTAACAATATAAACAAATTGAGAAAAACTTATTTTTTTAAACTACAAAGAACCAAACATTATTTCTGAAACTAAAGAATACAATAACTGAATTGAAAATAGGACTCAACAGTAGGAATGACCTGGCAAAAGAAAAAAAAAGCAGAAAATGTGAAGTAGGAATTTCAAAAGCAGAGGAGAAAAACAAAAGGAAAATGAAGGAAGAAAGTCTAAAGGACTTATGGGCCACCAAACAACACACAAATCACGGAAGCCTAAAAGAAAGAAAATAGTAAAGAGCCTATTTGAAAGGCTAATGGCTGATAACTTTCCAAATGTGAGGATAGAAATGTACATACAAATTAACGAAACTGAAAGTTTAAATAATCATAAATCTAAAGAGATCTATATTGGGACACATCATAATCAAACTGTCAAACCTCAAAGAATCCTGAAAGCAGAAACAGAGAAGCAAATAATCATGTACAAGAAAGCTTCTATTGGATTATCAGCCAATTACTTAACAGAAACTATGCAGGCTAAAAAGGAATGATATGATATATTCAAAGTGGTGAAAGATAAAAACTGCCAACCAAGAATACTGTATCAAAAATTGCCCTTCAAAATTGAAAGAAAAAGTAAGACTTCTTCAATGAAAAAAGCTAAGGGAATTCACCACGACTAGGTTTGCCCACCAAGAAAAGTGAATAGTCCTTCATGTTGAACCAAAAGCACAGAAAATGGCAATACAAAAACCACATAAAAATATAAAACTTCCCAGTAAAGGTAAAGATACCAACAAATATAGAATCTTCTACATCTATAATGCAGATGTACAGATCCCCTTTTCTCCTGCAGTTCTGATGACTGAACCTAGGATCTCAAATATGCTAGGCATATACTCTATCACTGAGCTACATCCCCAGCCCATTTTATTTTACTATGAGACAGCATCTTACCAAGTTGCCTAGACTGACTCAAACTTGGGCAATTGTTCTGCCTCAGCCCATCAGTAGCTGGGATTATAGACATCTGCTACCAGGTCCAGTCACAGATTACGTTTAAATATGTATGAAATTTTGGGGGCCAGGGATTTAGCTCAGTGGTGCCACCACCTGCCTCGCAAGTGCAAGGTCCCAAGTTTGATCCCCAGTACCAAAAAAAAAAAGTGTGAACTTTTTTAAAAGAATAAAAACTACATAAATCTATGTTGAATGATCTACACAGATAATTTGAGCATTACAAAGTGCGGGAAGAGCAGAAGTATAAAGGCATAGAATGTTTACACCTTTTTGTTATAAAAGGTTGTTATTAGATTAAAATTGATTATTATCCCTTTAAGGTGTTTTATGTAATTGTGATGGTAACCACAAAGTATCTATAGCTCAGTGTGAAGGCTCTGGATTCAATCCTCAGTATCATCAAAACAAAACAAAACAACAAAAAAATGAAACAAAAAGACAGGAAGGGTAGAAAGATATGCAGAAAGACATAACACATACAGAAAACAATTTTTAACTGGCAATAGTAAGTCCTTTCCTATTAATAATCAATTAATTTAAATGGTAATGGTTTAAATGCCCCAGTTAAAAGACAATCAAGCATGGTGGTACACACTTGTAATCTCAGCACTGTGAAGACTGAGGCAAGAGGATCTCAAGTTTGAGCCCAGTCTGGGCAACTTAGCAAGACCCTGTCTCAAAATAAAAAATAAGGAGTGGGAGAGGTAGCTCAGTGTCCCAGTACAAAAAAAAAAGACACATTGGCCAATTGAAGAAAAAAATAGGACACAACTACACACTGTCTATAAGAGACTCACTTTAGATCTAAGAACACCTTCAAGTGAAAGGATAAAATATATACACACGGTAACCTAGAAGAGAGTAAGGACAGCTATACTTACCATTGTACAAAACAGACTAAGATAAAAATCATCACGAGAGAATATTCACTAGGAAGATATATATGCATCTAACCTTAGAGCACTCAAATATACAAAACAAACATTGACAGAATTAAAGGGAATATCAGACAGCAACACAGTAACAGTGGGAAACGCCAATATCCCACTTTGAGTTATGAAGAGAACCAGACAGAAGATCAGTAAGGAAATAAAAGTTGAACAGCGCTGCTCATCAGTAAGACCTGACAGACACAGAACACTACTCCAACAATAGTAGAAGACACATTCTT